CTTTTACTTTTACTTTTACTTTTACTTTTACTTTTACTTTTACTTTTACTTTTATTTTTACTTTTACTTTTACTTTTACTTTTACTTTTACTTTTACTTTTACTTTTACTTTTACTTTTACTTTTACTACTACTACTACTACTACTACTACTACTTCTCCTTCTGCCACTAGTGCTGGTGCTGCTGCTGCTACTACTACTACTACTACTACTTCTCCTTCTGCCACTAGTGCTGCTGCTGCTGCTACTACTACTACTACTACTACTACTGCTACTACTACTACTACTACGACGACGACGATGACGACGACGACGACGACGGCGGCTACTACTTGCTACTACTGCCGCTACTGCTACTACCACTATTGCTGCCATTTCTCCATCATCACCATCATCAGAGCTGCATCCATAGACAGCAGTGTCTGTCATTACAGAATGTTGAAAACAGAATGTTGAAAACTCAATGTTGAAAACAGCCTTAATTTGTCCAAGGTGACTGTGAAAGCCACTACTACTGCTTGTGTTGATAGTATGGTGAGCGACTCGGATGTGTCCAGTCCAATTGAATGTTGAGAGCCCGTTGGATAAGATGATATTGGTGGAAGCTGTCGAAGATGTGCGCTTTTCAATCATGACCGTCGAACTTGTTGCAGCACACTGGCCAGCACGAATCTGCTGCCGTAGATGCTCAGAAAGGAGGTGCTGCGCCGCTTGAGCGAATCTTTACCCCCTGTTCAGGGCAAATGTCGGTTGTCATTGATATCAAGCTGGTAGAGAACGATGCGTTCGAGGCGGATCGGGGCCAGGCAGAGATGCATGTTGTGACTATTGGGTGCAGGCCACGCTGGAGTTTGGCGTCCGATTGCTCAGGCAGCACTGACTTTCTGCAGTTTTACAATTAGGACGAATTTTCTTTGGATTGCCAGAGACATTCAGGCCTCGCAATGCCGTTCTCGGCCACTACCTTCACACCTGCAGAGTGACTGTGGCGGATGATGACACTTTCCCAACAAACAGGAGCCGAAAAGACTTTGCGCAGCCAGCTACTGTAGCCACAGACAGCTTGACGCTCCAATGTGCCGTCCACTCCAAGTGGAGGAACGCTGACAAGCTGCGCGAAGACAGTGCAGCTGAAATCCAACCAGTGGCTCCTCACCTCAATACGTTAATATGCATGCCTTGCCTGCCTGTTGATCAGCTCGATTGCAAAGCACAGAACGGATTGTGACGAATCGCTGGGCGCGGTGGATCTGTAAAGGGAAGTTTTTCACTTTGATTTTGCTTGCGATAGTGATGCTTCCTTGGAATGTTACGCTTACTGTGTGTCTCCGAGTCCTTGTTCTCCAGCCGAGGTCTTGTGGTGGGAATATCTCAAGATGAGCCTCAAGGTGCTCAGTTGGTGTCTTCATGGCCTCTCAGCATGCGGAGTCAACTCGTGTCATGCTTAAGACTGTGGAGACACAGCTTCTAGCACGCCAGGACCGAAAGGTCAGAGTGGCGGCAACTTATAACCTTCTCACGGATCAGGCTTGGTTGATGTGTCCAAAGTGGACGGGTCAAGAGTAAAGCAGACTCTTGACACGACAGTTCTTCATGAGACGCGGGCAACTTCAATCTGACAGGTACGGAACTTGGCCTACCTGTGGCAAGTAATGCTACTTGCGCGCACACAGGAGCGACTAGCAGCAGTATTCCAAGTTCTAGGTAAAGGGAAGCCGAAGATTCTGCTCGAGCATCCTTCATGCCGGTGCTTCCGTAGCCGTGTGTTGCAACCGCCAGAAAAGGGGAGCTATCAGGTCCTTGCAAGGCCTAGAATACAAGAACTTGAAGAATAATTGAGAACCGGAAGGTTCAGAGCAGGCGATGCTCATCATGCTCACGTTTTTCTGAGGCTGACCAAGTACTTGATCGACCAAGTCCTAGCAGACGAGCCTCAGCCTTTCTTCACGGACCCGATCATGCCCCAAGGCAGGGAGGAGCGAGCCGCTCGGCCCCATCAGAGTGAAAGACCAAGGCATTGCCATACAGAGTTGCAACTAGCCCCCGTCACCATCGAGGTGTGGCTCACGATTGCGTTTTCCTTCGTGCCACATGCAGTGGCGCAGTTGAATTGGATTGGAACTCTGGGCCTGCTACGGTGCGGTATGGTGCGGTTCAAAGATACAGCGAGGTCATGCTGGTGCTGAACCGACTGAAGGCTGAGAGGCGCATCCAGGGCATGGCTCCTTGGCTACTAGCTATAAGGCCACGAGTAGCAGGTTGTGCAAACAGCGATGTCCTTGAAATTGTGCCGAGAAGTGATGGCCAGTGGCATAAGGTCGTCAATCAGCTACAAGGTGGAGTTCTGTTTTTTCGTGCCTGTCGAAGTTCAGACCCGTGCCTGTTTTACTGAGCCAAGTGATTGCAGTGCTAGTGAGCTGCGACATGCGGGCAGGCAATTTGCTGAGGACCGGATGCCAGCAGAATGCAACCGATGCACCAAGCATGTAAAATAACTGTGGGCAGGGCACAAGTGTGTCCGGTAATCATGGACAAGGCCTCCGAGACATGCTATGCTTGAGCGACAAACGAAGTGCCGTCTAGCCAGTCAATGTCTCAGTGTGCGTGCCCGAACAAGACTTTGCAGCATCTCTGGCAGATATTACCTAAACCGTCGCTACGTTCCACTCTACACGAGCAAGGCAGCGAGCATGCGCCGAAGGAGGTAAAGTGGCAGCAATAAGAAAGTCGGCGTAAATCGACCCTCTCCATGCTAGAAAATCTCACAGAAATTGTAACACTGTAGAAACAGCGAGGTTCGAGGTTGTGATTGTTGCTTTGGCTTCGGATTGGCAAGCTACTGGCATATTGTTCAGCCGACAGCACGGCGACTGGGTAGGGTCACTGCAGGGCAATTGTGTTGGGCGCCAGATTGCAGGAAATTCTTGAATTACAACGAAGACTCGCGAGACTCTGTGCGCTTGTCTGAGTTGCCACATCACCCTTTGTGCCGTGTTGAGAGAAGACGAGAATAGGCGACTTGCCCGAGGTCGACATCGGACTTAGCAATGGCCATAACCCGTGATGTCCCTGAACTGGTGGAGCACGGCTTTATGGGTGCCACTTGCCCAGATCACGCTTCAAATCCGTTCCTGTTGTCAAGAAAGCTAGCAGAGCAGCGAGGTCGGACAAAGCCGGCAAGCTGCGAGTCATTCGCTTTCTGGTATTCTGGGGTCGGGTCAGCAGCAGCCAAACCAATATGAGATTTTTTTTGGCGGGGAGGCTTCTGATTGAGATGCTGGAAATAGGGTTGCGATCCGAAAAACACGCGGAAGCATGCGCAAGCCTTTGGTTCGCTTGCGGTAGTTGCGGCAGCTCAGAATGAATAAAATGGACAACAAGCCCTTTCAGGGGTGCACAAGGTGCTACCGAAGTCATAACGAAACCTGCGCAGACAATCGGGACAGGAAAACAAAACAAGGGATCGCAACGCGATTGCATGGGAGATGTCCTGAAAGCCTTCGTAAAGACCAGAGGGTTCGAGCCTTGAATCACGTATCTCGGTCTAGGTTGTGGGGTCTTTAGAGATCTGTTTCGAAGATATCGCAGAAGGTTGCAGTAGAGGACGCGCAAAGGCAGGGTGCGGAAGCGTCTGCGGAGGCACTGCCCACCGTGGTAGCGTAAGGATTGCCTCGCTTTTCGCGGAAGCTCCATGGGAGTATGCACGAAACCAAAACATGGACCACCAGCTTTCGTCTCAGCTGAAGCAGTGGAAGCAGCAGGGGAGCTTTACTCAGATTTTTGAGCTTGTCGAGAATCTCGGCTTGGTCATCGTGCTCGGTATCCTCATGCTGGCGTGCCTGGACGGCAAATTGGACCTAGAAATTACATCGGCTTCTCTGATGTTATGTCTTTGGAAGGCAGAGTCAGCTGTCGGCGTTGACTCCGATTTGTTTCTTTCTCATTCCGCTGGCGATGCTGAGCCTTGGCCAAAATGATTTCGGTCACGACGTGCAGCCACTGCGCCGGCCAACCGAATGGAACTCTCAGCACTGTCACGCGATTTTGGACAAGTGGACCTGGCAGAGTGCACGTGCTGCAAGGATATTCATCTATATTCGCCATCCTGAAACTGAGCGTGCGGAGCTTACACCCAGGAGGTTGCAGCGGTTGTTCTCGTGCTTGTGTACCATTGTGATCTCGTGATCTCGGTTGTCTATGTGCCATGAATTGCCATGACAAGGCCGAGACCGCTTGGTGTTCCAGCGACAAACCGAGATGTTAATCTTGGTGCACCAAGTGACAGAAGCTCGATGGCACACTGACAAGTCTTCTCCTCCAGCTTCTGCAACTGTCACATTTGCGCTTGTCAATTGTTTCTCTTTCGAAGCGTGCCAAAGGACAACACTCGATTGATCACCGATTACTTTCAGCGACCGACGATGGTGGTCAGTTTCTTTTCTGGGAATGGTGGCCAGTGGACATTACACATGACCTGCCCTCCAAATGCCGATTGCTGCATGCAGGCTTTAACGGACGAGTTGCAGAATGCAACAAAGCAACCACTCTTGCGACAATGTTCAGGCCAGGAGCCACGCTGTTTCCAGATTCGGAAAGTCTGAAGCATGTGCTGGGCTTTTTTTACCGCATTTCCAAGCTCCATTGGCCATGAAGAAGGCAAAGTTGCGGATCAGCATCGCCATGTCGGGGTGGAACTACAAAGTTCAGAGTCGCGAAGAGCAGGAAAAGTTGCAGGGACGGAGAACTCCTCGCCAGGGTTACAAACTCGGAGTTCGCGCCTTTCATGACGACCGTCGTCATAGCCATTTATGTTGCTCGGATTGCAAGTTCGGCTGCAAAGGCGAGGTCCCTACATTTTACAACACTGCAGGTCATCTTCCATTATGCGTCTGTCGTGGATAAGACAATCACCATCGGTGACTCGATCTTACGAAACAAGCACGTGCATGCACGCCTCACGTTGGCTTCATGTCAGCTATCAGAAATTTGACGAAGCCATGTAGAATTGGAGAAGTATTTCTTTGACGAGGTGAGTTTCTGACCTCTGTGGCTGTGTGGCGAAGCATTGGCTCAGCTTATCAGAATGCCTACAAGGCTGCCGCAAGATTTCTTCCTCTTGTAGGGCATGCTTGCTCTGCATCGCACCAGGATATGCTGCAGATCCAACAGGCCTGCACCCATATTTTTCTGCTGCGCAGCTCACACCTTCTTGGGCGAAAGTTTTGTTTCTGAGCCAATGTCCATGTTCTCAAGGCAGCCGCTCCGCTTCTGAATGTCATACACTATATGCCGCCTGCATGCATCCAACTGAAGCCGAAGAAAGAACACGAGTCGGCTGGATTGCGATGTAGCTCTTCCGAGGAACCTGCCTGTTGACACGACGGACAGGATGTTGATCACGAGGGAAATGCAAGAGTTTGGCAAGACAGCACAGATGAAGGCGACACTATGCGACAGTTTGGTATGAGCTTGTGCCCGATGCACTTGTGCCCCGATGTTTTGCTTTGCATAGTGTTCAGCCTCTTAAGGAGCAAGTTGACGGTTGAAAGCATGAAAGCATGAGTACAGGTGTGTCCACTCCTGCTTTTGAAGTTTGTGTGGGGGTCATTCTGGCCAGGCGCACCATCAACTTTTCCGCAACTTGCCACGCAAAGCCGCACCGACCCGGCGTATAATCTGACAATGGTGTCATGTTCAACCATCTGTTTCACCTGATTAGCCCTGCTTCATGTCATGTGTCTGTCCATGAGGTAGTCTTCCGGCGAACTCACCGTTTGTGGAAGAAAGTAGCTGCGTCAGTTTCAATGGGGAGAAGGCCGAGCCATAGTCGTCACTCGTCAATCTCTCAATCCCTGCTTCTTGCTCAGCTGTTCAGTTGACGGCCAAGTACCCGCAGGATCTGATTCAGCATCTTGTCATGATGTGCAATGCATTCTGAAGCAGTCAATGGTTTTTCATTGCACTTAGTGATATGCCAAGGATCTATGCAGACAACATCAACTTTGCCTACCCTGCACGGACTGGAGGCGACACGAAACTCCAACAGTAACAGAGCTCAAGAAAGGATGCGAGATCATGTCTTCACTGGCCCTTGAACTTGTAGGAGGCATAGACCTGCTGCGGAATGCCACCTTCAAAATTCCACAAGGCACGGGTCGACGCTCCACCCGGCATCTCTGAAAATTCAACTGATGCTCCGTTCCGCAAAAGTTTCGAGGTGCTGAGCCAGTTGCTGACACACACACAGCATCAGTGCAGGCTACATCGAATGTCACAGAATGGTTTGTTTTCAGCATATGTCTTGGCGAAGCCTGGGTTTGGAATTCGAGCCCATGGAAAACGTTGCATGTGAGGAAGCATTGAGCCAACACACTGCATTATGTGCCGGATATTCGGGAATGTGTGCTGCAGCTATGTGTGGAAATCCCCTTGAAATCGAACAGATTGAAGGGCAGCATCCTCAGGTTGTTGCAGTGCCTTGAGCATAGTGTGCCAGGCCAGCTAGTGGCTGTGGCGGGTCCAAAAGGATGCGGCAAGAAGACTCTTCTGGACTTTCTGCCTGTGCACGCGACAAGCATCACACCGTCTGCAGCATTGTTTTTTCCATACGGCAGCAAGCTGCTTGCAAGCTGTGCATCGACCCTGGGCGCTTTGCCAATTCACTTCAGGAGCTCATTGCCGGCATTCTGCTACCGACCAGACTCTTGCTTGCAAACATTGTCAAGATTTTGAGTCCATTTCCGTCGTTTGCTGGTCTGAGAGCTGATGCAGGCTGCGCTCTATTGGACGGTGCAGCGGATATTGTAGGGGAACGTAGGAGACAGGCTAGACCAGCGAGCTGCTTGGGGATGCTTAAGACATCCAGGCCACACCAAGCTCTTCGTGCCTCCGCACTTGCGGGTTCTGCATGTGTCCAAAGATCCGCAGCACAGCTGCAAAGGAGCAGCGAGAAATGTTGTGGGTGTCGGGCGTATCATCAAGTTGAGGCAGCTGTTGCCAGAGATCACGCTTTTTGAGAATCTCACCTTCGGCCCCTCAGATGGTGAGACCCCAAGAAGAGCTTCTGCAGAGATTGCTATTGACTTGATGACTTAATTGGAGCCCCAGTGGTGCAGGTCAAGATGAAGAGGAGGAAAGGGCCGTGTCCTCAAAGAGCTCTGTGGAAGTGTGCAAGGAAAGTTGAAGGCAAGTTAATTGCCTTAGCTGCCTTTGCTGGCATCTGTCAAGACATGACTGACAAGACCGCATAGATATGCTCCATGTCAATGGATGCAAGCCTGTGTTAGAAGAAATTACTCAGCATTTGCTATACCTTCGAGACAGTGGCTTTACAGACAGTCTCCAGCTCACAGCATTTTTGACGGTGTCGGCCACAAGCTGTGGTGAAACTTGGCATGTCGCTCCACGGATTGGACAGGCGTTGCTCCCTCTGCTCCATGCTGAACTTTAGTTAACCGCAACGAACGAAAAGCTTGCCTTGGGCCCCCCCGAAACTCTGCTTCGGCCTCGTTTGTGGGATTTTCCGCTGTGGCACGCTTCAGGTCTTGGCAATTTGCAGGCGGTTGGGCCTCAGCGCAGATGCTGTCAAGCTGGTTGAAGCCTCCATACAGAGACAGGCACGGCAGCAACGTCGTGCTGAGTTTCAGTCCTTGGGCTTTTGTGAGTTACAGCATGTGTAGAAGCCTCGAGTACCTCACACCTGGCTATGTTGAAGACTTTGTGGCGCCGTTTTCGCAGTACGACACGCAGCCACGCGCATGTAGTAATGATGCTGATTGCCGGACATGTGCCAGGGAGATGTGAAGACATGCGCTCAGTTTGCAGTGCTGCTAAGTCACGAGACTCGTGAGCCATGGGGCCACAAGCATTTTGCACCGGCCTAAGGAAGTCCAAGGCGGCAGACAAGTTGCGCGTGGTTGAACGCCCGGCAAAGTCGGGTTCTGCGCAGTCGTCCGCACTACGAGAGCTGCAGGATGAATGCGGTGTCCATCTCTGCCAGATCCTCTTTCATTGTATTCATGCATGAGAGGAGAAGAACCAAGCCCCTGAAAACAGCTTGCCTTTCACGGAGAAGTGGCAGCCCCGGTTGGTCAAGACTTGGCATGCTGTTTGACACAGGAAGGATTCCGTGTGACACTTACCCGACGTTTCAGGTGCCTTCTGCACTTAGCAAGAGCTCTGGCAACTTGGATCAGCAAGAACTACTTGATCTTTGCATTTCAGATCGCAGCGTTTACGCTCTCAGGTCATGAACCCAGAAGTCCTCATATTGCACAAGCCACTGGAGCATTTCGACTATGTGTTCGCCCGCCGCGTTGTGGAGCCCATAGAGTCCATAGAGAGTTGAAGTCTATTAACTATGCTACATGGTAAAGCTGGTCCTGCGAGGAGATACTTCGTGAATTCGTGGACTTGCGGGGTTTGGAGAAGCCGCGGCTAATCTGCAGTTCAGTTAGTTCCTGCATAGCCAGCTGTTCTGCAAGTGTGTCCGAGGAGAGAAACGCTGCACCTTCGGAGCCCCAGGAGCACCTGCGTCTGGGATCTACAGGTAGGAACCCGCAGCTTCATTGGCGGCGTCGGAGGACGTGCATTTTTTCTGTTGGTCACCTGGAAAACTTGGAAGATGTGGACACCCTTCTCCAGGCCAAAGTGCTTAAGGCTAAAGGCTCGATCTCGCCACCCTCAGGCATCTTCAAAGCTTTCTGGCAGGTAACCAACAAGCAGGTCGAGGCAGTTGATCTTGCCTCTTGGGCTTGACTATGACCGGAGCCTTTCTGCAAGAAGTGCTGTGAGCTGAACTGAGGATTCTCTTTGTCGATTGAAGCAGGAGGCGGCTTGGTGTAGTTGAATCAAACGATTCACCAATAATCGTTCCCTCGTCTGGAGCCTGAGCCATAACGTAATTAGCGCTTTTGTTGTTCCGCCAGGGGCGGAAGTCAGCAAGAGCTCAGGTTGGACAGCTTTTTCACGTCTTGGACAAAAATGTTGCTTGGCAGCACAGGTGCCGTGCTCGCGTGGATTTGCACAGCATCGCAGAGCTGCAGGTTGACAACTTGTTGGATCGCGAAGAGTTCATGGGAATGGCCGAGGCAGGGAAGCGATGGGAAGCGTTCCTGTGTGTTTGTTTTCCTTAGAAGATTCACTCCAGGAAGCACCCGCCTCAGTGGAGTTATTCGGCATCAAAGAGGCGGGACAGTAGAAACGCGAATGGTATTTCAGTCGGATGCCCAATTTGTACAGGGTGCTGGAACCGTCACCGCAAAACATGAGCTCAACAAGATCTTCGACAAAGTCGATGACACTCTACATGCAGCATCGTTCTGGGTATGTCTGCGGTTCCAAAAACCATGGACGTTACGCCCGGTATTGCGTATCAGACTAAGGACAGTCAAGGTGGAAAGATTGATCAGGAAGAGTTCGTCGCCTCTCGGCGCCTTGAAGACGCTTTGCAAGGGGTCGCAGTCACATCTTCCAAGCGTTTCTCGTCAAGGCTTTCATTCGGCTACAGTTCGATGACCAATTGGCGGCCTGTCGTCTGCATTGGCGCATAGTGGCAGGCATTTGGTGCATTTGTGGCAGTTCTCGGAATTCAGGAAGCGGTGCAGGCTATGAAGAATCCCGTGGGCGCAAGTCAAAAAATCGCAGAGATTCAATCCCAGAAGGCAGGTGGAGGGACGCAGACCTCCTCCCCGAGGAAGAGCTGGGGACGAATCTGCACCCAAGGCGAAGCGTAAGCAGCTGGAGTTTGCCAGCTCACCCGGATACAAGCACCTGGATGCGTTACTTGGACGCTTCTAGCCGTCTAGCCCTGGCAGAGCTTGGTGCAGGGTAGCGTGCTCATGCTTTCATCGGAGAGGTGGGATTCGCCTGAGATCCCTGCCCACACGGCCATACTCGGCATCTTGGCTGCAGCCTGCGCGGTGCTAGTTGCATTTGGGCAGATAGTGTTCATGGTCACTGAGGCTTCCCTGTGACTTCCAAGAAGTTGCCGATCACGTTCTGAACAGACGATGGCCTTCTCGCATCAAAGTAAGGCAACAATGCAGTGTAGAGGCTCATCGTGGCCTCCTGCGGCTGTGGTCAGCGGCTTCGTTTTCTCACTAGTAGAGTTAGTAAAGTTAACAGCACTGAACACGCGGCATCATGCGGCTACCACCTGCTGCTCATTAATGCTCATGGGGCTGTGGGATCATGGAGCATCGGCAGAGCCCTAGTGTGAGAAATCAGTCTCGAATGCGTACAGGGCAGATGAAGTCTTTACAGGTGTGGTTGGTTCCTTGGTGCAGCAGCGGGCTATCCATGTTCCTGTGAGTCTGGCATTCTGTCGTCGAAGACGACACGAAAGAAGGCGGCTGTCCGCTTTTCCCATAGAACACACGGCTCAGTATTGTGCTGTGTGCGCATGGTACATGGCCTAGCGGCGAAACACTGGACTTTCATGACAAGGATTTATGCAGTGCCTGCTTGTCAAGGGTCTGGCTAAGTTTGTGGAAGCCTGTTGGCAGTTCGCTTGCAAAGGCCCCTAACCCGGCAGCTGACAAGCTTGGCCGGCAATTTGTGGAATGGTTCGCACTGGACTTACTTAGCCTTTGCTTCCACACCATCGGCATTGTCGCTTCTGACCGAAGGTATATTGCTGTGACACACACGCAGGCACGTGAACATCGCGTCACGTCATGCCTTGTCATGTATGTACTGTTGTGGTTATGTGTGCTATGTAATCAACTGTATGTTTGTGTTGTTGGGTTTGGTTATGGGAGTATATGGGTGTTACGGATGCAATATAAACATGCAGGGCTTCCGGCCATGCGGAGGCACAACGGCTTTCCAAACCGTGTCTTGGCACCTCTCCCGCTCGGTTGCGGCAGGATGACCTGCAATGATGGTGATCAGTATTGCAATCTTAACTCTCTGCTGACGCGAGAAGCCATGCAAGTCTCGCAGAGTTCTTGCAAGCCTTTCCGTGTTTCGGCCGTGCCGCGATACTTCAGGCGACGAACTCGAACCCAAGTTGGTCGGCAGATCTTCATGTGCAGCGATTGCCTTCATCTCTTTTCCTGGTTTGTTCTTTCTTGATTGCCGCTCGCTGTTCATGCTGGTGCTGATTCTGAGATCTTTCAGGACTCCCCGGCTTCTGTGCCGAACTCTTGTCGAGCTGTGCAGTACCTTGCAACGTGCTTTCCCGGCACACTATGCGTGCTGACGTTGTGCCGGTTCTGCTTGAAGCGCTTGGAACATGCATGCTGCCCTCGACTGTCGTGAAAGCCACAAGATGGGATCGAGGAGACTCCCGGCTCTTGCCGTGGAGTGGAGTGCGGGACTCGGGACGGTGTGTTGCCCGGCCCGCACTTTCCCCTTTGAGCGGCGTCGGCAACTCTGAAGCGTTGCTCTCCCAGCTTGCATGGAATCACATGCCTAAACAATACTGTCGCCTTAGTCGCCTTGCACATCTGGTGACAACGTCAATCTTGTCTGTGCTCACCCGCACAGACTGAAATCGTCGCTGTGTGTGCAAGAGGCCCCGGTGACTGGAAACATGGATGATCGTGCGAGGTGTGACGCTTCTTTAATGTCAATCAAAGACATTCATGTGGCTGCGTGCATTGAGCAATGAAGCCAGTCATCGCTTCCGTCCTGGCTGGGTTCCTAGCACTGGATAGATCGCGGTGTCCCACGCTCTTTGCAATTTCAAGGCCCTTTTCAAAGGCGTCAGTCCGAGCACTGCGACAAGCCCGTGTACTGGCCTAGCATGCATGCTGTGATTCGAATGATTCGAGCGACTGTGTTCCGGCCTTCAGTCAGTTTGTGTTTGAAGCATGCGTTCATCATCATGTATGCATCGATTGCTGGCTCGCATTCTTGGATGCTTAGGCTTCAGAACAAGCGAGCCGAGCGCAACGAGCTCTTGTTGTGTCATGAGCGTGGACCTAAGCATCTCAGTGAAGATCATCGGAGAATTCCGTGACCGGCCCTGAAGCTGTCCATGGTGCAGTAAGGTTCCACAGCAAGAAGTTCGTTTTGTGCGAATCCGAGCATGAACCGACTGTCGCAGTTGCAGCAACTTTCCAATCTCGTGTGCCGCATGCCTGTGCTCGTCTTGCATTCATTGACAGTGAAGCAAGGCCAGACAAAGAAAGCATTTCGCAGAAGAAACGGCGTCTCCAAATCGAAGGCTTGATATTCCGCGTGCGAGAGAAAGTTGTTTGCATACGCATACCTATGATGCATATTAGTCTAATGCATGCAGTTGTTCTCTTCAGGCGGACAAGGCATCTCGGCAGGCTTCGATGATCCCGAGGAACCTGAAGCACAGGTCGGAGATCTTGGCAGCGCTTTTATTTCCCTGGACCCACCGAAGATTCCGATGGTTTCAGCAGAGGCAGGCGGCTCCCGAAAGGGCAAAGTGGCCTACAGCGGAGGCCTCGTGCTGGAGCCGCAGGCGCCGGAGAGCCGCCCGCGCGCCGAGAACTCCCCCGGATTTGCAGAGTTGTTTTATGTTAATACCAAAGCTTGAGCGCCGTTTTGTTGTGGCTCAAGCTATGCTTGAATGCAAGACGTTCCGTGCACAGTTCATCGATGCACACGTGCTGTCTTAGAGTAGGGCGCTTGTGACTCTTAGTGAGCAACATGCTTTGGGGTAGTATCGATGGCAGAGAAGTCCAGCTCGTCACATTGAAGACAGAGTGTCTAGAGGCGCCAGCTTTGTCAGAATTCTTGTAGGAGGCTGTCTCTCGTGACGCCAGAGGTGGACATTTGCAGTTTGGGGGCTGCTCTTGTGGCTGTACGACTCAAGGCTGCTGGAGGCAGCGGCTGGCCTGCCAGATTTGTCACGTTTCACATGGCTCCAGGTGAGAGGAGAGTGGCTGGATGTGGTGCTTGGCCTGCCTCCTAGGAGTTCATTTTGACTTTTGACTGTGGCCTTGTGGTGGTTCTGCGCTTTCTGGCTTGATGAGGCTACGAATCTTTGGAACGAACCTTGTCTGCAATCTGTGAGACACACACACACACACTTTTGCCGGGGAACAGCACAATCGACGGTGTTGCCATGGTTCTTCAAGAAGTGGTGGATGTTGCAAACGATTCTGGATTCTAGCCTTTGCACCGTTTGTGGGTAACACATATTTCCCTAAGTTAGAGGACGAGTCCTTGAAGCAATAGAGAACGACAGGGTGGGCTGTAGATCGCTGCGCAGCTGTTCCCAAGGGTACGTGAACGGGGGCAAGCCGAATTTTGGCACCGTGGTGGGCCGCTGTGCGAAGCTCAGTCCAGAGTCAGAGAAATTAACAGCAATGTGGGGGGGAGCCGGGGGGAGGGGACAAATGGCGAGGGGCGCTCTGTGAGTTTTTGTTCCGCCTCGTGCAGTGAGTGATGCATGCTTTGCGCCATGGCGGGGCGAATGTGCTGGTTTCTTCTGGTTTTCATCTCGCTCCATCGCCTTCCGCGAAACGGAACCGCTGAGGGATCCTTGCCAGACTTGCCTTTTTCCCCTCAGCACACCCAGTCTTGAATGAACCATGCATTGCTGCATCTGCTGTTCGGCGTGATGTGCATACCTTAAAACATGCATGAACACGGAAGAGCTCAACCATCAACTGTGATTCCGAATGCTATCGCAGGCTCTAGACGCCCAGTTCTGTGGCAATGTAGCTGTGACTTTCCCTCCCGCCCCAAAAGTCGTATTTGCTGGCGCATGTATCTCTGCAAACGCAGATATGTGCGCATGGAGTGGGTTGCAAGCTCTTTAACTGGCGGAAAACCTGAGTACAGAGGCTGGGAAGCTTCAGACGTCTGAGTGAGAAAAGCCACATGCAGAAATAATTATTGGTTTGGAGAAGTAGTTCTGCCTTTTCTGAGCATGCCTATTGTTTGCGTGTCATATGCCACATTTCCACATCCACATCCGAAGTCTCGGAATTTGTCGGAGGATTGTAACCCATGTCAATATGTGCCCTCCGGACGAACAATCAATTCACTGCCCTCTAGCTGCAAAACCTGCTGGGCACCAGTGCTGTGGGGATGCTGCTGCAGGTGCAAACCGCATTGCCAATGGTACCTTCGAGCTGGATGGGCAGCAGTTCACGCTGGACACGAACAATGGCAGTCATCATCTGCATGGAGGTGCCTCTCGAGACCTGCAAAAAACTTCGTGCCTCTTGTGACCGCAGCGGTCGCGGTAATCTGTACCTCATCAAGATCACTGCAGGAACAAAGGGATTCTACTCCCAAGTCTTCGACGTGGCCAGTGTGTCAGAGAAACAGGTCATTGATTGTCGGACTAGCACGCTGGGCTCTCGAACGGTGTGTCTCGTCAGGCAACTTTGGTCCTGACAGAGCCGGACGGCTTCATGGGCTACCCCGGTAAGGCGAACAAAAAGCAGCGGTACTGCAGAAAGTTCGTCGTTCGTTCTCCTTGCGCAGCTTGCGATGGAGGTCGAAGTGAGTGTCACATACGAAGTGAGCCACTGCCCCAGCCGCGCAGCCGCTGCCGCCATGCCCAGCCTGGGTATGCCTTCGCCCCGGCCCCTCGCGTTTGAGCGCAGGCGGAGGCGAGTTGCACTTCCGCTACAGTGGCATTTCGGATAAGCCCACGCTCTTGAGCATGCAGCTTGGCGGATTGGGGCGTCGTTTTGGCATCACGTGTTTTGCTACGTCTCAGGACCAACCATGCTTATTGGAACCTCAAAGGCCACAAGGTACTAGCTTCACTTGCTGCTTAATCGTGGGAGATCGAGAAGCTTGGCGAAGTGCAACCCGCATCAGGCTGGTAATGTGCTTGATCACATCCTGATGGTGCCAGCCTCGCGGACGACAGCAGCTGATGACAGCCTTGCCATCACAGGCTGAGGGGAGTCGTTTGCTGTCAGTAGGAGCGGCGTGTGGTTTTCGGGAAGGCGAGCTGCCCGAGGTTGCTGGGACATCCCTGGACTTGTACCTCGGATTGAGTGCTGCTACTTTTGTAGAGAATGTATAGAGGTTCTGACATCGGGAACAGTGGGCACCCTGGGCCGTCTATCCTCGTCTCAGGCGAGAGCCACGCCTGCTCCAGGAGGCCGTGTTTTGGGCTGTGCAGGCTGTGCTCGTGAGCTCAGGGGGCCTCAGACAAATGCTCGTGAGCCAAGGCAGTGAGTGCCGGTGGTCCAATCGATCGCAACTACTGCAGCGGCCCAATTTGGCCTTTTACCCCTCGCTTCTGGTGCCAGATGCGAGGCTTAGACCGGCCGGATGGTCAGAGGGAGATGATGGCTGCACGATTGGTGGGCCCAAACAAGGCCCGCTCTCATGACGTTAGCTGTTGGCCGATAGACTTGCTTGCGTCTGGAGTAGTTCAGGTCACCATGGAGGTATGGACGGACCAGCCAGGTTTGCAGGCCATGTTGCTTCCCAATCAAGCCATAGGAGGCTGTTGTGGAAGAGAAGCGGCACAGGCCCTGGCATGTTGTTTGCAGGTCTTCACCGGCAGCAACATTGGCACGACAGGCCAGGGCATGTCATGTATAGAAGGAGCTCGACGAGTTTTCCATCATAAAAAGTCAGTGGCATGCGTGTTCAAAACATTTAGCAAGAGACCTGCCGTATCGGTGGTTTGATGTTCAGGTCCCGACACATGGTGGAAAGGGAAGGTGGCGCAAGGGATATTTGTTTTGGTCTCTTGCTCTTATGTGCCAAGCGACTGAGGGCAGTGAGTGGAAGCAGTTCGGAGCAATCTGTTTGGAGCCGCAACTTTGGCCAGATGGAGTGCGTGTCTCAGTTTGCAGGCCGGCCCTTTCGAAGAACCCACCACGCAATCGTGCGAGCAGCGGCAAAGGTTCATCACAGCCACTTTGAAAGCCCGGTTCTGCGACCGGGACAGACGTACAAACATCATTCTTGGCACGTTTTTTCAGCGAGGGACTGAGATGGCTCTGATGCAGCTGGTATCCGATTCTCACTTTCTGCTGAGGTGGAGGAGTAGCCGCTGATGTTTGTACAGACGAATTATGACGAATTCATAGTTTTTGCGTTATCGGTTCTCATGGCAGAGTCGTGCTCCGATTGGAACAGTTTTGTGCCAAAGCACGTTGCGCGTGCATCGGCTCCAAAGACCTCATAAATTCGCAGAGGACATCAGAATGCAATTTTGCATGCACGGCTTGAAGCAAGCTGTCTGTCTGAGATAAATGCAGCAGCTTTGATACTCGCGTTAGTGCCTCGAGACTGTTTCGGAGAGGCCGGCTTGTACGACGATCTTGTCATGCTTCTGGACTTCAACAGCTTGTACCCGTCCATCATCCAGGTCAAGCGCATCAATCAGCAAGTGGAGAAGCCACAGTCCCTGAAGCGTTTGCGAGGAGTACAACATCTGCTTTACCACAGTGGACCGACCTGACGAGAACGAGGTTGCGAAGATGACCAGCGAGGTCACCGCTCGCAGCAGTTAAATTGTTACGATCTGGGTTTAGTTGGGCAAGGCCTTCACTGCTTCCTGTTTCAGGCACAGCTACTGTCAAAGACGCGTGAACCAGATGGAACTGCGGAAGAAGGCATTTTGCCACAGGTGCGCCTGCCAGCTAGACTGCTAGATGGCAAAGTATTGCCAGCTGCAAGACGATGTGATGCCGAGGTGCTGCGACGTCTTGTCGACAGTCGTCGAGTCGTGAAAGCATCGATGAAGTCGGTCGGATGCTTTGCCGGACAAGCTTCGGCTTCTTCTTTTTGCTGCGCTGCGCTCAGGAGAAGAATCCAAAGATTCTACAGGTGCTAGAGATCCGTCAGAAGGCAAACATGGTTCCGCGATTTTGTTGAAGTAGTTCAATTTCGTGCATACCGCTACAAAGACTGCACTTTGCAGCGGCATGTCGCAGGCGCTCAAGCTAACAGCAAACTCCATGCCCGGTGCTCAGCAGAGTTCTGCAAAGCTTGCAGCGCAGCGCATGGCTGGCCTAAATGAGGTATGGCTGCTTGGGTTTTCAGAACAGTCGATTCCATGCACCAGCCTTACACGATGAAGCCTGTGGCCGCGCTCACATTCTCGATTGCCATTTGCGCAGGCAAAGCCCCTGGCAGCGCTCATTACGGCGAAAGGCCGAGAAGCTTTGCAAAGCACGACGACAGTTCTTGCCTAAGTTGATGCAGAATGCGTGATGAGAGCTATGGATGACCAGAATTGTGGGAACAGGTCGTGAAGCAAGAATTGCAACTGGAGGTGGAAGGAGCCTGAGGATACAAAGTATCCTTGCATGAGCTCTTGGTGAGATGTTGCCGGCCACAAGGTGTATGGTGACACAGACTCCGTCTTCGTCAACTCGAAGACGGCTGACTTCCAGCAGGCCCAATGTGATTTCGGCGGTTTCCAGCTCGCTTCCAGTCAATCTCGGACTCTAATGCTGCACTTGCCCATGCAGGCGATGCACATTGCCGAGCAAATCAAGCGCGCGGTCAATAAAAGGCTGGATGCTCGCTTCTTAAATGCAGCACACCAAGTTGCTGAGCAATGCTGTTCAAGGTATCGCCGGCTGGAGATCGAGATCGATGCAGTCTTTGCCAGCATCACAGTCAGCGTTTGAGTGTGTATAAGGAGCTGCAGCAGGAATCGTGCTTGCAAAGAAAAGTTGTTTGAATTTGCAAAGCTGGCTGGGAAGAGACTGGTAATCCCAGGTTCATTGGGGAGGGATGCAGCCCAGCTCGCAGGGTCATTCCAGTAGTATGCAGAAGTGAAAACCGATTCGGCATGCTCCATCCAGCACCGGACTTCGCCAGCGCACGTTGCACTTCACACAACTTCACATATGCTGCGGATGGGAGGCGATGATCCAGCAAAATGGATGATGGATGATGAGCCTCCCGACCAGAGCATCTGCAAGCTTCGCAAGCCACGAGTTGTTGCCACGCGAACGTGGGGTGGGGAACTGAAGTCCGCAGATCGAAGTACGGCAACATGCGGCGGACATCACGAGAGCCCAATCCAGTCGAGGGTGGTGTGATGACACAGATTGACTCATGACAAACCTCCTGCCTACTTGTGGTCCACGCTCCACTGCACGACACCCAAATTGAAAGTGACTGCTTAAGAGTCTCGTTGATTGTGCCGTTTACAGAGGTGCGTCTCATGCTTCTCAAGAAGAAGAAATATGCTGCTCTCAAGGTGACCCTCTCAGTGTTGTAAGACAGTAAGAGGGATGAATCATCGTTCGTGTCACCGTTGCGTCAGGTTGTGAACTGGGAAAAGAAGCTCTTCGAGCAGGAGCTCAAAGGCCGGGTGCAGAGCTCCCTTGCCCATACGCTCTGTTGCAGTTTCTCAGAGTCTGAATGTTGAACTTGTGCCGATTCGGAGGCCTGGACATCGTGCGAAGGGATTGGTGCGGTCTGGCCAAGGAGATGGGAGAAGTGACAGCCTCAACCCGGGGAGAGCATCCCACACGCAAGCGAAGTGTGGGTCCCTGGCCGAGGCGATCCTCACAAAGATTCTCGATCCCAATATGAACAAAGAAGAGCCCAGGGCCTAAGCCAGCTGCTGATGGCGGCCAAACTCCATCCTTATCCAGGTCCATCGAGTGGGTGCACCAGTTCCTGAGTGAGCAAGCGAAGAACATGGATGACGGCCAGGTTGGACATCGGACATCGCTCTACATGTGGACATTCTTAGCTGGCAGCTGGTGACGGGAGGTGCCACTGGACAAGTTCGTGATCACGAAGGGTCTCACCAAGGATCCCAAGGACACCAACGGAACACTATGACTGCTGAAGGCACCGCATTCACGGCTTTTCCGAGAACTCCTGCAAGAGGACTATCCAGACGCCAAGAAGCAGCCGCATGTCCAGGCTAACCGCGCGCACTTGTCGATTGAGTTCCGGTTTTCAGTTTACTTCGAAGATCAGCCGGGATTATGGTGCGAAATTTCGGATTGATTTTGTATAAAGCTGACGCGCCGAAAGGACAAGATTCACCACTGGTCCGGTTTACCACAGGAAGCATTCACGTTTCTGAAGCAGAACTGAGCATTCGCAACCCACGGGGTGCTTGATCCTGGCAGCGGCTTCTGCCCGGCCACAGCGGATACAGAAATCATCAGAAATCCTAGCTGCACATGTGAACACTCCCGCCCCAAATAGGGAAGGCAGTCCAACATTAACGATGCACATGTTGTTACTCTGGTTGTCTGCATGTCCTATACCACAATCCTGTTCTCTACTGCTACTCGTTTGGCTCAAGTACAAAAAGGTTTGCCGGCAACACTCGGTTATCAGCCGTAGCTTTCTATTGCAATGAATGCCATCGTTCCCCCAAATCCTGCAGGTACGTCCCCATGATGGTATGACAGGTGACATCGATACGGAGTTTGCCCGATCCAGGTCGGTTCCGGGAGCGGAGCTTCCTATCGTCACCCCCCGTGCGGGTCAGGTAAGCAACACTTCGTAGCCATGCATATGCTGGTTACACGCCCACGTAAACGGCAACTTTGGTATCTTCGAGGCCTGGTGTTAGTCCTGGACCCACGACTGTGGCACCCAGCTATATTTCCGTAAACTACTTTGGTTCCGACGCTGATTAACAACACTTACAATCAGCAGAACAACACCATCTTGGCCAATGACAATGGCTCGTGGAGGGAAGCCGCCAATGCTAGGCATGCAGAAAGCGAATGATAAATTTTGAGATTTCCAGCAAACAGCAAAGTCGCCCAGCTGAGGCTGGAGCATGTTCGTCTGGAAACTCAGACAAGGGAAATGGAGGAAGTAGCGGCTAGCAGCGCTCTGGCAGGAAGACAGGCGGTGGCCCTTCATCAGATGGAAGTTAGCTTGGCAGCTGAGCAAGCTCAGCTGTATGAACGTCTGGTGAATGCGGAAAACTCAGCGAACATCGTTTTCGTCCAGGTGGAAGCCGAGGCTGAGCACAGAGAGAGTCGGAGCCGCAATGAGACCAATGCTCGCGATGACGAGATCGCCAGAATGAAGAGTGAAGTGCAAGAGATGATGCATATCCAGCAGCAAGGGATGGAATTGCTTAAGACGACAATGAGACTCTCAGACGTCGCTTGGCGGAAGCCGAAGCAAGAAACCGCTCCCCAACTGCTCATCCTGGCATTTCGCATGGTCCCGAGCTGCCGCCGGGACTTGCGACACACACTACATCGCCACACTTCCTGAAAAACCCACTGTTCCGGAACCGGAAGGTGACGGTGGTGATGAAGCTGAAGCTGACGACGACAAGGAGAAGAAAAGCAAGAAACACAAAAAGAAGAAGAGCAAACGTGATGACTCGTCTGATCCTCGTCCTCCATCGACAACAAAGCCCGCATGAAACTTTTGAAGAAGGTTATCAAGAACAAGAAGCAGGATAAGGAGGAAGGCGACGAGGATAATTAAGGAATCCACGAGAAACAAGCCCAAGGTGAAAGAGGCTGAGAAGATCGTGTTCCCCAAATTCCCCCAGCCCGAACAGTACCGGAACTGAAGAATTCGTGTGCGTGAGGCAATCGTTGCCGCTGCGGAAGCTCCGGACAGGCCCCATGCTTGGTTGGGCAAGGTCTCCGAAAAGGAGTTGGATGAGAATGAGCTTCGCGACTCGGAAGGGTTTAGCACTTTGGACGCGAACATTCTGATATCCACGACGGGGATTTCGCTAGACAGACAGACACGTTCAAGGAGACCAAGGCTCAGGCCGGAAGGCTGGTGAGGGGACCTCAGCCCTTGCATCGTCTCCATAAGTACTTTGCCACAAATGCACGTCATGATTCGGTCTGTGACATGGAAGATCCCATGAACTGCAGAATGGTGAACGAAACCATCACCGCGTTCATCCGTAATTGAGATACAATTCTTTCGGGGTTTCCGGTCCCTACAGAGAACAGCGTGCTTGAGCCACTGTTTCACAGTCCTTGAAAGAAGCTCAGTTGAGCACTGAGATGCTCCAGGCATTGGTCAAAGATGAGATTGGAGGGAGCAAACCCGCATGTCGTCACAAGTGTGATGCTGAGTTTGGTTGCAAGCACTGCATACCAAAGGGGATGAGCGTCTCCTGTCCAGCGTCAGCAAACAGTCGATCACCTTGTCCCTGCACTGAGTGGATCGCCGGCAGTGCGCAGGATCTCATCGCAGAGCCGGAGCTCGGGCAAGCGAAGAATTTTCAGTCTGAGACACCGATTTGTATGATGACTGCGAATGGTCCAATTTAGCTACACATCAATGTAGCGTTTCAGTCGACTCCATCGGGGTCCAAGTGACTCCTGTGACTCCCTGCGTTCTTCCCGGAACTCCTAGCGTTCTTTCGATAGGACAGCGATGCATGGAGGAGAGCTTCGACTTCGTTCGGAGAGCTCACAAGAGACCATACCTTAGGACTCCGAAGATGGATGTTGAGGAAAATGCGCCCTACACAGAGAATGACTGCGCTTTCGGTTGGATCCCATTCACCAATTTGACACTTGACACATGAAAGTCAGGAGATCCAACCCTTGACGGGGATTCTGAGGCAAATCATGGCCGCATTGACAAACATTCTTCGCAGCCAGGTAGGTTTTGCTCTCACCGACGATGAGCGTAGGAACAACATCTCAGCTACCGTCGTGATCAGCCGGGTTCACCCTGTTGAGATCCCTGCTGCTTTGGGCACGATGGGATGCAGTCAGATGCTTGCACTCCTGAAGAGTGCGCAGTTCTCCATGGATCGCAAGCGAAGTTGGTTGAATCAGACGGTGGAAGACAAACAGACAATGCACAATAGTATCATGTACGCTTGGCCACGCGGCCCGGCCGCGTGGCCAAGCGGCCACGCCGCCTGCGGCAGCACGATCACCAACAGCAACAATAACACCAGCAGTATCAGCAGCACCACTACCAACAACAACAACAACACCAGCAGCATCAGCAGCAGCAAAAGCAACAACAGCAACAGCAGCAGCAACAACAACAACAGTAGCAGCAACAGCAGCAGCAGCAGCAGCAGCAGCAACAGCAGCAGCGAGAGGGTTTGCCGAGCTGCTTCTTTGCAGGTTTTGGGTCAACCAGCATCTCCTTTTAGGGTTTGTTGTTTGTCAGTAGCAGCTTCTTTGCAGGCTTTGGGTCAACCAACATCGCCTTTAAGTGTTTGGGGTTTTCCAACCATTCCTTTTGTTTAGGGTTTCAGCATCTCCTTTCAGGGTTTGGGCGGTTTGGGGTTTGTCAACAGCAGCTTCTTTGCAGGTTTTGGGTCAACCAACGTCTCCTTTTAGGGTCTGGGGTTTCCCAATCATTCCTTTTGTTTAGGTACGCGGCTGGGAAAAAAGCCACCTTGCTCGCTCAGGTGCTCATCGTCGCATTGGTGCTCCAGGGGTTGGGGGCTTAGGGAGCCGTAATACTTATGTCAGGGCAAGTCGTCATAGTGTTGCTGCGACAGTGATGGGGACGCCAGGACAGTTACTCCCTACTCAGTTATACTAGTGGTTAAACTCTTACATGATAGTGATGTCAAATGTCAAGATATCTCATCATAATAACGATGAAAGAACGACTTTCGCTATGGCCTGCGGTCCATGGCTCCGGCAGGGGTTTGGCTTCCTTGGGAGGAAGATTTGTTCATGCCAGGCCAATGTGGCTTGACTCCTCAGACTTGTCAGGCAGCTGCAGCTATGGTGCAGCGTCCGTGCTGCAGATTTAGATCCTCTGCCTCGCGATTGCATATCTGGCCAATATGTTCGTGTGCGCTTACTGCCTGCTGGTGACGACACAGACGTTCTTTCCGTGTCTTCAGACGACGACACTGCGGCCAAGCAGTCTGTAGTTGCGCAGCAGGATGTCG